TGCAGGCCTATGACTAACATCTTCATGTTTGGTTTGCTTTGGAACACCTTACCTGATGAAGAAGCCAGTGAAGCTTCAAAAGCTTGCAACATTGTACATTTTGGTTGGCCCAGTACAGGTATCACTGTTTGGTGGATTTTTGTTGTTACTGGAATTGTTATTTGGCCAACATGGCTACCCCTGGCTGCTTACTCCCAGCCCAATATGCTCCCCGACTCTGCTGCAATTATTGTTTATTTGTTTACTTGCATTAGTATTTTAAGTGTGTTTTAAATTGTTATTGTTTAATAGTATTTTAAGGGGTGGGTGGGATTGTGGGATATGTAATGTATTTTTTAATGTTGTAAACTGGCCCGGTTGCATTATGGAACAAAAGGGGCGGGATAAAAATTATTATTATTATTATTATTATTATTATTATTATTTATTTATTTATTTATTTGACTATCTTGAGGACATTGTTCTGGTGTTAATGCCAGATGAGAAGCATTGAATCGGTCTTCTTAGTGGTAGCAACCATGTTGTGAAAAGCTTTCTCCTGAGAATTTTGCCTGGCTACTTTTTTGCACTCTTTTTGGTTTCTTCAAAGGAGAACTTTTGATAGAATTTGGACTCTTTCACACTATGCAACTATTGTACTATGATTGCACTTTAATTGTCATGGCAACATCCCATGGAATTCTTGGATTTGCAGTTTAGGCAGGAATATTTAGAACTCTCCACCAGAGAGTTCTAGTGCCTCACCAAACTACAAAGCCCAGGATTCTTTAGAATGGATTCAATGTGGTGTCAAACTGCATTATTTCTACAGTGTAGGCGCACCCTTGGTCACATTCGCAAGAGAGGATAAGGTTATGATGCTGAAAGGGGATCTTAGCAAATAACTATTACAATCACTTATGGTGCAGCAGAATTTCTTCAACCCAAGTTCTGTTAACAAATTTGAATAGCATCTGTTGAGGCATCCCACTAAAGAAAGTTACAGGGTAGTCATTACAGAGAAATTGCCCTTGCAAAGGGCAAGTATAATGGCATTTTTATAATATCTCCTTATTATTTACAAATGTGTGTGCACGCATGCAAAAGTGTTGAAAATAACCATGCATGTTGATGAACTTTTATCCAGAAATGCATTTGTCATAATAAACTTGTTACAATGCATTCCTAGTGTTAATTCAGAAACAAACTCTCTAGCAAATGTGTCTAGGGTTACATTATTGGTTAAGATGAGCCACTCTTGAAGTCATTGCTTAGTGCAAATCACATTCCCCACTCATTCTAGTTGAGGATTCTGAATCCTAGATTGTCAGTGAGATTTCAAAACAGTGAAATACATTCCCGGCTGTTCTTCTGATTCTTTTTTCTTTCTTTTTCTTTCCTGCTGCGGAATTGAACTAGACCTGCTAATGACCATCTCTGGCCTCATCACTTTGAACTCTGTGTCCAGTGTTGTGGATTCAAGATTAAAAATAGAGATGAAACATGAATCTCACTGCATGTCTTGAGTTGTTTGGTGTTACAGAGATCAAAAGGATATCTGTACATCTGGTACATGGAAGGGCCATTATTACAGGGAGGGCATCTTGCCACATAAGTCTCCTTTTTTCCATCATATGCCAGACTTAATGGGATGATCTCTAATTAGTATTATCCTCTGGCTCAGATTTCAGTAATTCTCTGCAAATTGCAAGGTAAATGGAAAGAAATGCAGCCTCAGCCAAGATGTCTGGCCCATACTTACAACAGAATTATATATATTCTGTTGCAGCAGTTTGGTTTTGCCTGAGCCTACCAAGAAAAGCGAGATTCCACCTTCTCCTGTCTTTCTGCCCTGCTGAGTGAACTGAGTACAAATTACTTTTGGAGCAATTGACTTAAACTGGAGACAAAGGGCCTCGGCAGACGACTAATAGAGTCGTCTGCAAGCCCAGGAAGAGGAGGAGCAGCCGCACGCGCGGCACTCCTTCCTCTTCCTGAGTTTGCCCTTGGAGCTGCCGCCCCTCCGCACGGCCGGCGCTCCCAGGGCAACCTCCCACCGCAGCGACCACATGCGCTGCGCCGGAAAAGACAGCGAAAGTGCGCCCTACACGTTTAGGGTGCACTTTTGCTGTCTTCTAAAAGGAGTGCCAATTTGGAGCTCCTTTTAGAGACGCCGCAGGAGCGCCAGGGTGTGGAGGCTGCGGTCCCGCGGCGCTCCGTCCGGCGGCGTCTCCGGGGCCTCCATCTGCTGAGGCCCAAAGGAGGAATAGGAGAGTAGAGACCAGGGACCTTATCACACGGGGTCTAAAGCAGACCTAATCCAAAGGG